CACCAGGACGGCAGACGAGCCTACCACAAGGAGACAGAGAGCCGGACACAAAACGACCACAAAGTGGCGCAAAATTAACACAAATACGTGGAAAGAAACACAAAACATCCACAAAGTAACATGAAGGACACACAAAATTACCACAAAGACGCAAAACAACATCATAAAGTGACACAAAGCCATCAGAAACAGACAAAATGAGCACAAACAACAGAAAGAGACGCAACAACCTCTCAAAACCACAGTTCAAAAGCAGAAGATGACACAGAATGGCCAGAAAAACACATTTTAATGTTAAAAAAACGAAACAAATGATACAAAAAAGTGACACAAACGCCCACAGAGCAACAGAGACACAGTAGAGGAAGCACAAAGGGACACCAACACCCACAAAGTCACACAAAATCATCAGAAAGAGACACAATACCCTCAGAAAACCACAATAACAAAGCAGAAAATGGCACAAAATGACCCCAAAAACACAATTTCACCTTAAAAAAATCAAACAAATGACTGCTGCAACACAGACGAGTGACAGAGACGCACAAAGGTCACAAAAACACAGCAAAGAACGCACAAAGTGACTGTAAAGAAACACAAAGAACAACACAACATCACGCAAATGACCACAAAAACACAAAGAGACGGTAAAGAGACACGAGACCGTCAGCTCACCGATGACGTCGTCTCTCGTGGCCTCGGCCCTGAACTTCATGTCGTACAGGTCCGACACCAGGACTCGGTAGCCCTGAGCCGACAGCTCCTGAACCGCCGCGTCTCGGGCCGCCGCGTTGAACGAAGCCGCGCACTGGTGGGCGTACACGATCAGAACCGTCTTCTGGGCTGCACACGGGAAAACACAAAGCAAACCAAAAAACAACAACAAGTGACAAAAATGAACCACAAGGTGACAGAAAGAGACGACAAAGTGACACAAAATAACCACAAACGGACATGAAGAAATAAACACAGTAAAACCATCAGTGAGGTCAAACCCTGGCAGGAGGAGCTCGGGGTCGATGGAGGGACGAACCTGGAACATGTCTGCTCATTGTTTCAATAGAAAACGTAAAACCGTGAAGCGTCTCTTTTAAATGTGTCCCAACTGACAGAAATGTCCTCGTCTGAACATCTCATCTCCTGTTTGTTCTGATTTTGAGCTCCTCGGACTCTCGCTGCGTTTTTAAACTCAAATTCTGTTGTTTTGTGTTTTCAGTTTCCATCTAATCATCGTCTGGGGTTCAGCAGGAGCTCAGCTTCTCTGGTGGTGCTCCAAATGACCCTGAAACCAAAGTCTGTTTACTAGTTCAGATGGTAAATCTGTGGTGTTTCACTGTGAGCTGCAGAGTCACGACTAAAGAAATGATCAGAGAGACAGAGCTGGACATGGATCTAACAGAACAACTGGAAATCACAAAACTCCACAAATTAGGAAAAATGTCACAGAAATGTACCGTTTCTACACAAAAACCCTCAATAAATCAAATGTTTTGCTGTTTTTGGGTGAGCAGGATGAAGTCAGAGCCTCAAACAGACAAACTGGGTTTCAGGCAGAGTTCTGCCACTTAAATGGAAATAAAGTGTTTATGTTGTAAATAGAAGTCTGTTGCTCAGAAGCCTCCAAACAGACAGAAAACAACATTCATTTACAGTTGTTGCTTTGATTTTTTGTTTTGTTTTTTTTGGCCATTTTTACCAAATAAAAAATAAAATGACTTAAATATACATTTTATAACCCATAAAGTCTGGATAAATTAAAATCCTTGTTTTGTGTTGTCAGCTCAAAAAACAGCAGCTGTGGAAATAAAACTTTTATCAGTAAATCTATTTTCTTGCCAAACGTGTGAACTTGACCTCATGTCCACACATAAATACACATTAATACACATAAATACACATTAATACACATTAATACACATAAATACACATTAATACACATAAATACACATTAATACACATAAATACACATAAATACACATAAATACACATAAATACACATTAATACACATAAATACACATAAATATTCAACCTCTGCAGCCAAACAGTCTAACACATGAACTTCTCTCTTTCTTCTTCTAAAAACAGAACCGAATCCTTCCAGACTTTGTCCAGAACCAGACTTCAGTCATTTTTACATCAGAAAACACGTAAATATCGGATTGATCCATAAAATAAATCAGAGTTAATCAGCTCGTTGGTATTCTGTGTGATCCGCCTCCACGGACACAAGTTCTGCTGCTGGACCCGCAGGTCTCAGATAGAGTTCTTACCCATGGTAGCGTTCTGGTCCGAGTGAGTCCGGACCTGCTGCTGCTCCTCTTTAAGCCCTCTGCCGCTCCGCTGGCGTGACAAACATGTGAGATCTGCTATCGGCGGAGACCGACGGCGTGGCGGAGCCGCCGCAGCACAGAACCGGTCGGGCCGTCTCCAGGGGGCGTGGCCCGTCTCAGGGGGCGTGGCCCATCAGCTGCGTTTCATTTGGCCCGGAAAAGAATGTTTGGTCACTTTCAGGGGATTATGGGGGTCATGTGGCTCTAAACGCTGTAATCCGACTTAATTTCACCTCGTTAGGAGGAGAGCGCTGGAAGGCGTCGGCCCAGCCAGCGTCACCTGTCAGCACCTGCACAGAACCGCGGCCTTCAGGCGGAACCGGGTTTATGACGGGCCCAGTGTGTGAACGCAAACAGAACCAGAGGTTTATGGGCTGGACCGGTGCAGACGCAGAACACCAGCTCACACTGTGTGCAGACAGAAAGGCACAGTGAGAGGATCCGT